CTAGAAATGCGATGAAATTTATTGGTGAAAATTGATGAATTTAACTTAGAAAAAATTGATGATCATGATTTTGGACTTGTGAATTTTGGTGTTGAGACTTGTTTGATGAATTGTGGCATGATGGTATGATGATATAATGGTTGTATGAAGGTTGGAATGATTAAAATTGAATGGAAATTCCTTGGAATGTCATAGGGCAAGATTCGAACCTTTGAGGAAAAATTGAGGAATTGATGTTGAAAAAATGTTTTGGATGATGATTTGTGTAGTTATATAGTGCTTAGATGGGTTATGTTGTGGTTGGAAAGTGTTTGAATCAATGGGAAAAGTGAATTGTGTTTAGAGACCTAAATGAGCCTAAAGTGAAATATTTCGCAAAACAATGCGTAAATGTCGTAAAACGGAAAAACGACGATTGAACTAGCCTCTAAGCAACCTAAGGGAGTGTTATAAAATGAGAAAGAAAATTTAGAAAAATAAATCCCCAATTAACACCTATATGGCCGAACCTCCAAGGGGAAAAATGGGGATTTTGCGGTTTTCGCGTTCTGATGTAATTCGACGCGAAAATGACGAACCGGCACTTGAATTGGCCTATTGATAACCTAATGAGACGTAACAAAATGAGAAAGAAAATTTAGAAAAATAAATCTTAAATTAACACTTGAATGGCCGAACCATCAAGGGAGGATGGGGAGGATTTTTTGATTTTGCATTTTGATGCTATTTGACGCGTACTAATGGATGTACGTGATTGTATAGGTTGCCGTACGTTGACTTGAATCTGGGAGTTACCCTTGGTCTTGGACCAAGTGGATTGAGGTATGTAATTGGTTCAATGCATGTATAATTGTAAATTAGCATGTATTGTTTGAATTATAAGAGATTGGGAATGTCCTATGTGTAGGCATTCTGCTGTGTACCAAATTGAGGGATAAGCTGCTGCGGAGCTTGTGAAAACAACATTTCAGGTAACCTCTTGGTACTGGGGCTTGTTCCCCTTTTCTGTTCCACCTTGCCAGTTGATGGCAACGGTAGGAAGTGTGTATGAGTAGTATAAAACACATGAGCATGCATGCATTATTGCTATGGGTACTGAGGTACCGAGTCTCTGGCCAGTAGACAGTTTTATTAGCCTTCGGGCAGTTTCGGACTTCCGCTGGATAGGTCTCCAGGAGGAGTTCCAGTTGACTGCGTGTCATGGTGTGTGATCCGGGTAGGAGCACACTAGGAATGTCTTTGGCGTTTTGGATGGTTTGGGCATCATGGTTGTGGTTTCTGTGAACACACCTTGGATGATACCCTTAGGCTTATATATGCCCAGGGCGTACGTGGAATTGGGGTTACCATCCCGTATCGTCGTAGTTTGTATCTTTATATTCCTCATTTCTCTAAATCCCTTGCTATATCCCGTTTTCAAAGTGGTTGTTTTATTCTATTGATATGCATCGAAGTGAACCATTGGGTGGAGTTTTCTCCAGAACCTCTTGGTTACTGAGATATATTCGTATATCTCACCCCGTCTCGGGGCATTTATTTCAGGATGTAGCAGTGGAGCCGGAGCAGCGGGCAAGAGGCCCGCAGAGTGAGCAGTGGAGTGCTTCATATTTTGCATTTTGATGGCCGTGTGGCCTAGGCTAGACTTAGGGCATGAACATCTCATATGTATGTAGTATGAGCTTCATTAGCATATTTGTTCATGCCATTTTGCCTAAGTCTAGTAGTTATGTATTTGTTATGTTGTCATTTGAATTTAAGTGGTAATATTGGAAGAATGTAAGTTGAAGTTTAAGTTTCAAGTTGTAAATTGTAAAGCAATATTGTAATCATATTTGATGCATGACTATTTATGATGAAAGGGCCTTAGGCCTATTTTAGGGTATGATTACATGTATGATGAAAATATGCATGAAAAAGGTGTTAGTGATTGCAACTACCTAAGAATGATTAATATGAACTATATGCCTAATGACTATAAACTGGATTGGGTTGTAAGTGCCCCAAGGCGTTGTTGGTCTTTGTGTGTGCCACCTATTGGATTATTACTGTATTATCATGTGATTATTAGGTACATTTGAGGCTTAAATGATCTTTTACAAATTTGGGATTATTGGAAAAACAAAGGAAACTCTGGCGAATTTTCTGTAGAATTGGCAGATTTTAAGCGAACTTCGGGAGAGCATATCTCCCTCCATAGAGGTCCAATAGGGACGTTCCATACGCCATTTTGAAGGTTGAGATGTCCTCTATCGTTTTTCAAAAATTGGGAAAAATATAGGTTGATCTTCGGCCTGAAACAATTGGAGAAACGCGGACTGCTCATGTGCCACTGCATCTGAGGCAGTTCTGGACCTGATTTAGGAAATTAATTCCCGCTTCGTTTCTCAGTCAAATTAAGCGTGTGATATATCAAAATGAAGTTTGAGATGTCTAGTTTGTAGGATAAAAATTTGAGAGCAAATGGATGAGTGGATTGAGTGCAGTAATTCGAGAAATGTGAGTGGTTTGGAGCTGTTTTTGGGGTTGGTTGGCTATTTGCTTATCTAACTTCAAACGGCGATAACCGGAGCAAATGAGCTCCGAATTGAGCGTGTGTTAGCTTGTTAAAAAGGAAATTAAGTAAGACAAAGATATAATCTGAGAAGAAGGTTTGGTTGCGAGCGGCATGGTCGCAGAAAAAATTAAGAGTGAAACATGTCCGAATGGGTAAAAACGTAAAGTTTGGAAATTGGCTAAGTGGGTCTATGGGAACCCCTTAGTAACTTATAATAAGTAAAGTAAGTTATAAAAATAGTTTAAATAAGCCTTCCGCAAGAGTTTACGGTTACGGTCACAGCTTTTAATTATTACGCTTTTTATGTTTTAAATGCTCGCGTAATAATCGGAAAAAGTTTATTCGCATTTTTAGAAATGAACTGCTGTGATTGTAACTGCGCTTAATATCATAATTAATGTTAACAATACCGGTGTACAACGGGCTGTTACACAATGCCTTGGTGCTCTTACACCCTTCATAATTTATATCAATTAGCTTACTTTACAATTCAATAATGTCATTATCAAATCTTAAACCATTTCAATCACATTAATTCATTTGCATGTATTCCTTTGACATAAAACATAAATCAAATCCTAGAATAAGCCTATTTCCCTTTCATCATATACATGCTTCAATATTACACAAGGTCTCCATGTTACTATTACAATTTACATTTCTCCAATGAGGCTTAATACAAATAAATCTCCAAATGAAAGCATGGTAAAACACAAGCTAAACTTAGACAAAATATGGCATGAATATCAATGATAAAATGCTTAATCCTAACTCAACATACAGTGTTCCTTCCCTAAGTCTATCCTAGGCCCAATGGCCACAAAATGCAAAATAACTCCATGTACAAGCTCAACCTACGGGCCTCTTGTCCGCCTCTTCAACGCCACTGCCACTACCTGAAATAAAGTCCCCAAATGGGATGAGATATACGAATATATCTCAGTAACCTAGAGGCTCTAAAGATTACTCCGCCCAATGGCTCACTCAGATGCATATCAATACTATACCACAACATCCAAAAAGGGACAAAGCAAGGGATTTAGTGAAGTAGGGAAGCATAGGGAGTAAAAATACGATGAAGCTGAAATGGTCGATGTCAATACCACGCAACATCCATCCTAATGGCCTCGGTATATAGCCTACGGGTTCTCATCCAAGGAAGTATTTCCAGAACATCAACCAAGGCACCCTCCATCCATATACACCCGAGACTTCCTAGTGTGCTCCTCTACGGATGACACACCACGATCCCAGGTCAACTGGAACTCCCTCATGGAGACCTATCCAGTGGAAGTCCGTAATTCCCGAAGGCAAACTGTCTATTGGCTAGAGACACGGTACATCCTATGTACCATGATACATACAAAATGCAGGAGCATGTCATAATATACTACTAATATACACCTCCAACCACTACATTCGAGGGGCATGGTGGAGCACACACGGGGACTAAACCCCAGTACCAAGGGATTACCTGATGGAAGCTCCCTCTCTAGGTAGCTCCAAAGCCAAACACAACCGAGCTTGGTCCAACAAGAAATGCCTACATATAGGTCATTCCCATATCAATTATAATCACATAACGACATCAACTTGGTTACTCAAGCATTCATGAATTTTTACGTAATTACTCATCACAATCATTTTGGTCAAGGACCAAAGGCAACCCATCCAGCTCACCGTTCCAAGTTCACATCCGTGGGAGGCAACCTACAATGATCACAGAAGGATCATCAATACCATGGTGCAACCAAGTTAAAATACAAAGCACCACACTCCCGCCCACACATACATAGGTTCAGACAAATGGCCCAAAAATACCTAGCCATGTTTTTAATTTTATTTCAAGCTTCAACTAGCTTACGAAGCTTACTACAACATCAAACCAATTCCTTAATTTCACTCCATTACCATTCAACATCATTTTTCCCAAATTTCCTCCTTTAGGCCAATTTCTACACTTAGACATATCCAATGGTTCCACTTCCAATTCACATGCATCAAACCAACATACAACCTATTTAAACTAAATTCACAACCACACAACACCAATCACATATTTTTTACATCATCTTTTCATTACTTTCCTTACATGGTCGAAATTTTCATGTTTGTGTTCCTAGGGATTTTTAATTCAATTCAACACTTCCACACATCATACAATCCTATAATTAACTCATACAAATACTCCACAACTTAATTACACAATCCTACAACCATGTCATTTCACAAAGTGTTGAATTCCCACATCAAATTTTGCCTAAGTTAACAATCCAATCTTCAAAATTTTTATAGTTTCTATCACTCTAAAACATCATTCTAAGCCAGTTTCATCTAATACACAACTTCAATTTGAGCTCTATAACTACATCAATCAAGCAAAATAGCTCTAGGGTTCACGAATTTTGATCCATCAATTCAACCAATCAAAAGTGTGAAAACTTACTCACAAGCTAGGCCTAACACTGGAGAACGAGACATTGGCCATGGAACGATACTCAGCCTCGGTGGAAGAACGAGACACAGTCGGTTGCTTCTTGGACTTCCATGATACCAAAGAATCACCAATAAAAATGCAGTAACCAGTAACCGAACGTCGACTATCAGGGCAGGTTGCCCAATCTGAGTCACAAAAAGCATTGAGATGAATATGAGAAGATGAAGAGAAGAACAGACCCTGCCCAATTGTTTATTTCAAATAACCAAGCAACCTATAAGCAGCCTGTAAATGAGGGAGACGAGGAGAAGCCATAAACTGGCTGAGATGATTCACTGGATAAGAAAGATCAGGCCGAGTAATGGTGAGATAAATGAGACGACCAATCAGCCTTCGATAGATAGCAGGGTCGGGGATCAATTCTCCAGAATTTAAAGTGAGTTTAAGACCAACATCCATAGGGGTGCTTCGAGGCTTACAACCCAAATAACCTGAATCCTTGAGAATTTGCAGAGCATACTGTCTTTGACAAATGGTGATGCCCTTGGTGCTTCGAGCTACCTCTATACCAAGAAAAAATTTTAAATTGCCCAGATTCTTAAGACGAAATGTATCATTTAATTCAGCAGTAAGAGTCTGAACATGAGAAAGACTGTTAGATGCCACTATGATGTCATCAACATACACCAAAATAGCAGTAAAAAAAGAAGCATCAGACTTCACAAACAAGGAATTATCAGATTGGGACTGTTGAAAACCAAGCTGTAATAATGTAGATGAAAACTTAGCAAACCATTGGCGAGAAGCTTGGCGAAGCCCATACAAAGACTTATGAAGACGACAAACAACATTAGGTGGAAGAGGAGAAACCCAAGAGCAATAGACAAGAGGTAACTGCATGTAAACCTCTTCAAACAATTCCCCATGAAGGAAAGCATTATTTACATCCAATTGAATTAAAGTCCAGTTAAAAATAGCAGCCAAGGCAAGAATGATTCAGACAGAAGTTAATTTAGCAACAGGAGAAAAAGTATCCATGAAATCAATACCTTCCTATTGTGTAAACCCCTTGGCCACCAAACGAGCCTTGTAACGTTCAAGAGAGCCGTCTGATTGGTATTTGACCTTGTAAACCCAACGACATCCAACAACATGCTTGTCCTTAGGAAGAGACACAACAGTCCATGTTTTGTTCAATTCAAGAGCTGATAACTCAGAATCCATTGCAGCCTGCCACTCATGTAATTGGGAAGCCTCAGAATAAGAGGTTGGCTCGAAGTGAGAGGAGACCGAATTCACAAAAGCCTTATGTAAGGGAGACACCCGATGATAAGAAATGAAATTGGTCAGGGGGTGTTGAGTGGAAGATGAGCACACAAAATCAGCAAGCTTAGCAGGGGGATGTCGAAGCCTTTGAGACCTCAAGGAGTGGTTAGAGGGAGAAATATCAGAAGATATAGGAGAAGGAGATAGAGGCAAAGAAGGTGGTAGTGTCAAAAGTTCTGTGTGAAAGGATGTGGAGGATGTGTTGAAGGTATAGGGAAAAATGTTTTCAAAAAATGTAACATCACGGGAAATATAAGTGGAGTTGGATTGGATGTCTAAAAGTTTATATCCCTTATAACCAGTGGGATAACCCAGAAAAATGGCAGGGGAAGCACGGGGCGAAAATTTATGGCAGTGGTGAGGAAGTGTGGAGCTATAACAAAGGCAGCCAAACACACGAAGGTGAGCATATGATGGGGCTCTATGTGAAAGGAGTTCAAATGGTGTCTTAGAAGCAAGGAGAGGGGAATGAGTGCGGTTTATGAGGTAGACAGCAGTAAGAACACAATCCTGCCAATAAGGTAAGGGTACTTGGGACTGGAAATGTAAGGCACGGGCCACATTGAGCAGGTGTTGGTGCTTTCTTTCTACAACAGAGTTCTGTTGAGGACGGTTGACACATGAGTGAAACACTTGAATACCATGAGATGAATAAAAGGAGGATAAATTGAATTCAGGAGCATTGTCACACCTAATGGATTTAATTAAAATGTCATACTGAGTATGAATGAAGGTGTGAAAAGCTAGAAAAACAGTAGAAAACTCAGATTTAGTTTTTAAAAAATATGTCCATGTGAAACGTGTGGAATCATCCACAATGGTTAAAAAATATTTTGATCCCTCGACAGAGGGGGTGTGAAATGGACCCCAAATATCAAAATGCACTAAATCAAAAGGCAATGCAGAAAGTGTAGGATTTAAAATGAAGGGAAGCCGTTTTTGTTTGGCTAAGGGACAAATAGAACAATGATGAGAAACATGCAAAGCATCAGAAAAACCAAGGGAACTTTTCATTGAATTCAAAACATTGACAGACAAATGACCAAGCCGAGAATGCCACAGTATGGGGTCTCGAACAGTTAAGGAAAAACACAGGGGAGGGGGAACATCAACAATGGGAAGAAGACATTTACTATCCAAAATGTAAAGATCACCACATCTCTTAGCAATCCCAATCATCTGAGTTGAAACACGGTCCTGAAGAAAACAAAAAGAGGAGGAAAAATTAGCAATGATGGGAGAGTCCCTGGTTAATGCACCTATGGACAACAGGTTGAAAAAGAAAGTAGGAACACAAAGCACATTAAGAAGAGACAATGAGTTGGACAACAAAACGGAGCCAACAGCAGAGACAACGGTAGATGAGCCATTAGGGAAAGCAACAGATGAAAAAGAAGGAGTAGAATCATGTAAAAAATCAGGAGACACACACACATGGTGCGTAGCACTAGTGACAATTATCCAGCAAGAAGAAGGAAAAGAAAGGGGAGATTTACCACTTAAGCTCGCCACGGAAGGAGACGAGTCAGCAACAGAAGAAGCAACCGAGGAAGAAGCAGAACTCTGATGTAGAAGCGAAAGTAACTGATTATATTGGGTGGGCGTGAAGGCAAGAGAGGCATCAGCAGCGGAAGGGTGCAGGTTTGTCGGTGGTGCAGAGTGAAATTGGGAATTAGGTTGGGAAGAAAGGTGGGAAGTAGGTGGTAATGACAAGTGGGAATTACATGTCATGCAATGAACAGAGGGATGGGTATGGGTCTGAGGTGAGGCTGAATAGGGAATGGGCCTAGGCTGTTTCGGTTTGTAACCTGGGGGATACCCGTGAAGTTTGAAGCACTTCTCACGGGTATGACCCGTTAAATTGCAGTAAGTGCACACTGGGCGTGAACGGCGTGGAGCAGCAACGACCATGGATGCTTGAGAAGCATCAGAAACAGAATTCATCAATGGTGTGTCCAGAACAACAGGAACAGATAAGGACACAGAGAGTTGATGCTGGCGTTCCTCTTGAAGGATAATAGAGAAAACCTTGGCAAGAGGAGGCAAGGGGTCAATGAGCAAAATCTGAGCACGTGTAGCAGAAAACGAATCATTCAGACCAATTAAGAACTGGAGAACATGATCTTGATCATTCCTGGAAATCATCTCGCGAAGCGTACCACAAGTACATCGTGGAAGAGGCAGATAGTCATGAAGCTCATCACAAAGAGACTTCAACTTAGTGTAGTAGCTGGTAATATCAAGAGAACCTTGACAAAATGATGAAATTTGCTACTTCAATTACCCTTTATTAGATGAATCCGAAATTTTTCGGTCGTTCGGAGAAATCACAGTTTTAAGCTGTTATGCGCGCAACATTTTAATTTTAAAAAGAAAATAAGTTATTTGAAAATGACTAGCTAAGGACTAATTTTATAATGTGGCCACATTTTAAGAAAAAAAGCACATGATCCAAGGTGCGATATCTGAATATGACTCCATCCAACTAAAGTCAAACAATAATGAATCAGGCGGTGATTACATCCTTCATTGATATAAGACCTTCCATGGTCACAATATCATTTGACTCTATCGACTAGTCATTAGTGTGGAGTGTAGCAAGAAAATAGCATGCCAATGTGATCTAAAAATAGCCAAACTGTTATTTTCTTTGTCAGTCCTTAAATTTCTCTCAAATGCCTTAAAGACAAAGAAATGTTATGGTTTATCAAACAACCATCATATAATCAAATATGGTGTCGACTACGGGCCCTGTAGTCCTAACAATACCATTATGTCTCAAACTCCCATATAGTGTCAACCACAGACATGATGGTTCCAATGACATTAAGTTTCAAAATTATGCCTTAAACTCCAATATAGTGTCAACCGTAGGCATGGCAGTCCTGATGACACTGAGTTCCAAAATCTTTCACAATTGAATATATACAATAATAAAACTCAAATCCTTATCCGTTTGTTCAAAATAAAATTTGTCTATCAACCAAACATCAATTGTATCCAAAATGAATGGTTCACCACAACAAGAAAATAATAAATAATTCAAACTCCCACTAATCAACTAAATCAAAGGAACTTATTGTGCCCATATTCTTCACATACATTTTAAATACCATGGGCTTAAGTCTTTCAATTAAAGGGTTGAACCATATTCTTAATAATTAAGTCATCAAAAAAAAAAAGATCCATAGCTAATTAATAACCTGAGAATTCAACATTATTTTTCCATCACTTAAAAATACAGTAAAATCCAAACAGGATAAAAAAATTCAAAATCCTTCATAATGAGGCCTTATAGAAAGTTCATTTCAAAATAAACTCATGCCTTGATGTAAAAAAACTAAGCAAATATCTTTCATTGACTCTATAATAACTTCAAGATCACCCAAAATCAAGTATATCTCTCCAGCTAAAGAAATATCAAGTATACTGTCCACATTAACTATATGCTAACTTTAACGTAATACCTTATCGAGATCAAAATTCATAATAAAAAATCTAGATCTCATATTTATTCATTATAATTTAATCCAATAAATAATTCTGTTATAACATTGTTATCATTCATATCAAAAGTATATTTATTACATTAAATGCAATTATATTAATTATAGGCAATCAAGCAATTTTTACAAAATAATTAACATATTATAAACACTCATTTGGGCGGAGTATATAATCACAATTATTTCACATGATTAAAAATTTAATCTCCATGTATGTTTCACAAATTACTGCCACAATAATCCCCTTTGGGCAGATAATTGGAAACAATAATTTTTATCAATAAAGAACTCTAACAATTCACAAATAATATTCTGAATAATCATGTCCAAATAATATAAAAATCTTATAACATTTGTTTCCAAAATTCATATTGCATTAACTAAACTATAATTTATATACAAATTCTAATCTCCAATATCAACAATTATTCATCTTAGCTCACTAATCAAATACAAATTGCAGAGTACATAAAATCTACGCTAAATTAAAGAGTAAGTATTAACATTATAATCATCCTATTTTATAATAATTTTTTCATTAATTAAAATTCGAAAAAGGAACATAAATATTTATATATGTCAAAAACTAAAATAAATATTTCAAGAACATTGAATAAGAAATCATTTAAACACACTTACAAATGGATTTAAATAAAAAAATATAATATGAAGGCAAAATAGGAATGCATTTAAAGAAACTATAGGGCAAGATACAACTTCAATTAAATTAAGATAATATAACGAGGCCAACATAATAGTATATTCCCCTTTAGGCAGAATGCACTAACTAAGGTTGTCACCAAGGCCAGAACCTCAGATGAGTTAATCAATAAGCACTACATTGGGTTTGAAAATCTATCCCCTTTGGGCAGATAGATTCCTAGACCAATGAGCCTCCAATAACTTCATCTACAATCTCAAGAAGAAGTTGCTCAGGATGAGTTAATCATTAAGCACAACAGGTTATCATAACAAGGCCAACATAATAGTATATTCTCCTTTGAGTAGAATGCACAAACCAAAGTTTAAACCAAGGTCAGAACCTCAGATGTGTTAATCAATGAGAAC